GTGTGTGTGTGTGTGTGTGTGTGTGTGTGTAGTGTGTGTGTGTGTGCATGTGTGTGTGTGTGTGTGTGTGTGTACATGTGTGTGTGTGTGTACATGTGTGTGTGTGTGTGTACATGTGTGTGTGTGTGTGGTGTGTGTGTACGTGTGTGATATGCGTGTGCGTGTGAAATGTCTTCCTCTTGTCAGTCGACCTACGTTTTTCCTGGAAGACTGAGGTGTTTATTGGTGGGTCTTCTTACACCATGTCCTAGTTGTTCAGGTGCCTTTCTTTGTACTTCCTTTCCCTTACCCTGGTTGTTTATGCTTCTCGTTGGTTTACTCTGGTCCTCCGTGGTATTCTCAATATCATTCTGTAGATCCATATATTTTCTACTTAATTGTCTTGCTCAGATTCTGTTCTCCGTACCTCGCTTCACATATACCATATCGTACAACGTTTTTTTTCCGAGGGCTGAACAAAGCTCTTGTGAGTGGCATTTTTTAAGGCGTTAATCTTAGAATTTTAGGTTGTATGAAGTTGACATTTGACAATAAAAGCTGAATTAATTGTAAAGTTCAATTAAATTCGATTGAAAAAAGGCGAGATATCTTACAAATCTTCAGTTTATTTAAGTTTATTTAAAACAAACGTATACACTCGAGCATTCACTTCAACAAAATTGTTTAATGGTACAATTACTTAATGCCGGTATTTTTGTAGAAATGACGTGGGGGCTACATTAAATACAAAATAAAATTATATCGATATATACATACTGTGCATTACATGAATATATATAATTTGCACGGTATATCTTTTAAAATGCAAGTTCTATTGACAAGAGGTAAAGGAATAGTATTCATAAACGGTTGGACAGCCACGGCCATTATAATTACACATAACCATTTTCAGTTACCATACACTAATAACATATAAAGCGCAATCAAACACAGTTACAAGTTTTATCTCACATTATAATGTTGAGTAAAACGTACACTTGAATGTATAGCTAAACTGAAGCCCAAATGGTCTTACGATACAGCTGACCTTGAATAAGACCGACATAGAAAGGCAAACAGGGGAAAACGAGGGAAATTAGGATACAGTCTCGCTAATGCACGTATTATCGTCGTCGTCTTCGCCTCATCGTCGTCGTCACTCGTTGTCATCATCGTTCGTCGTCGCCCCACTCAGTTGTCATCGTCGTCGTGTTGTCGTCGCCCACTCAGTTGTCATCGTCGTCGTCGTCGTTCGCCCCACTCAGTTGTCATCGTGTCGTCGTCGTCACTCAGTTGTCATCGTCGTCGTCGTCTTCGCCCCACTCAGTTGTCATCGTCGTCGTCGTCGCCCCACTCAGTTGTCATCGTCGTCGTCGTCTTCGCCCACTCATTGTCATCGTCGTCGTCGTCAGTTGTCATCGTCGTCTCGTCCGCCCCACTCAGTTGTCATCGTCGTCGTCGTCTCGCCCACTCAGTTGTCATCGTCGTCGTCGTCACTCAGTTGTCATCGTCGTCGTCGTTGTCGTCGCCCCACTCAGTTGTCATCGTCGTCGTCGTCACTCGTTGTCATCACTCAGTTGTCATCGTCGTCGTCGTCGTCAGTCGTCGTCGTCGCTCATCGTCACTCAGTTGTCATCGTCGTCGTCGCTGCCCCACCTAGTCATCGTCGTCCCACTCGTCGTCGTCGTCGTCGCCTGAGGATTCCTCGGAGTCTGAGAGGGCGATGAAGTTGGACCTCTCCTGCAGCGCGCGGTGGAGGTCCAGGGCCATCCCGCTGAGTCCCGCCGGCACGTTGGGGTCCGCCTCCTTCGCTTCGACCGCCTCCACCTGTGTCCGAGAGAGGGCGCTCGGTGTCATTGTTCAGGATACGAATGATGAACGTTTCAAAATGATCATACAAAAACCAACTGGTTCGTTATTACACTTGCGGGGGAAATCTCCAAAATTGCTTTTTAATCACACAATTTCATGTACATTTTCAGAATGATCCTAAAGAATCTCTACGTTTTCATTCATACCTTTAAGAGAAGAAATCGACAAAAAATTGTAAATCTCGACATTTACACGCATAAAATCATAGCAGGAAACAATCATCAACTTTCCCAAAGGACGCTTACCTTGCGCAGCCTCACACCAGACTTGATGTCTTCCAAGAGCTGGCCACGGCTGTCAAGCGGGGGGGCGGGGGCTGCATTCCTGTCTACTTTCTATTACAGAAGGAGAGGCAATGACTTTTGAGGACTTTCGTCTTAAAATTCACAATATATTCCGATTGAAAGTGAAAATGCAAGTGCATTGTGAGAAACTTGGATGAGCAACTTACCCTGAGGTTCTTGCCTTCCTGTATCTGGTGCAGGAGAGCCGAGCGAGGGTCGGCAGAAGAGGACAGCCCGCCGGAAGGCAGAGGTGGGGGCGGTGGATGATTAGCCGCAGAGCTCCCGGACGGCGGTGGAGGAGGGGGAGGGGGAGGAGGAGCAAAGCCAGCAGGATGGGGAGGGGGGAGGAGGAGGAACAATGCCAG